TATAATAATTTAAAAATAATATAAAATTAAATAAATGTAATTAAAAAAGGTGCAACGAAAGAAATTGGAACTGCTTTAACTCGAATATGTCTTAGACACAAAGCAGTAGAAACACGAATGAAATCATTTACTAGGTAATTTTTCATTAAAACTTTAATAATTTTTAGTATTTATCTATCACATTTTTAATTTTAATTTAATTATTTCTTTTTATTTTTTAGTGCTATTATGGATTGCTTGGTATTACCTCTTCAAGAAAAATTAGAAGATTGGAAAAAGTCTTTAATAAATTTAGATAAAGAACATGCCAAAGGTTAATAATAGCTTATTCAGTATAAAATATTTCAACAATATTTACTATAAAATTTGTGATTTTAATATTTACTTTAACATTCTATTATTTTTTCAGAATATAAAAAAGCAAAAGCAGAATTAAGAAAGCGTTCAACTGATACATTACGTTTGCAAAAGAAAAAAGCGCGAAAAGGTCAACATTTACAAGGACAATCACAAGGATATGGAACATCATCAGGAGATATTGAATTGAATCGAATGTTAGAATCCTCAGCTGCTGTTGTTCAAGAAAAACGATTAAGTTTAGAAGAAACAGAAAGAAAAGCCGTTCGCGCAGCTTTACTTGAAGAAAGAGGAAGATACTGTCTTCTTGCCAGATTTTTGAAACCAGTACTAGTTAGTAAAGTTAATTAATGAATAATTAATTATTTAATTTAAAAAAATAATACTATTAACAATATATAAAAAAATGCAGGATGAAGAAATTGCAATGCTAATGGAATTGACACATCTTCAAGAAGTTTCTGATCAATTACAACGTCATGCAGCTTCTCCTCATCATTTGCCTCCTGCATCAGAACAAGTGATAACAGATATAAAAGGTTGCGATGTAACACAATGGTCACTTGCTACTCCTCCTTCAAGTCCTTCTTTATCACTTGGATCAAGAAAAAGTTCAATGTGTTCAATCAGTTCTTTAACTAGTAGCAGTAGTGGTTCTTGTAAAAGTCATCCAAGTCCATCTGGACATCCTTGGCATAGATCACTCTCTCAGGTAAAAAATTAAATAAAAAATTCAATTAAGTTACTTTTTGTTTTGCTTAGTCATTGTACTAAGAATGTCAATTTGAAATGCATGGTATATTAGTTACTGTTTACTGAAGCACTAACTGTACTTCAAGCATGTAGTTGCTTATAGATGATAGCACGAATGCCATTTGGCATCAGCTTAGTGTATGTGGTAGTCGATATTGTACTCGTTATAGTCTGTTGGAGTCAGGCCCTCCAGTATCAGCAGTATGATGACACTACGCCACTTGGTAAACGGTAGTTCCCGTGACTCTGGCTTCACTTCTCAGGATACATTATATACACAACCAATTTCTGAACATCAGGTAAGGTTGTTAGAAACTAGTTGCTTGCTAGCATTTTATATTTTTCTTTTATCTGTGACATTGAATAAAATTTGAATTCATTTTTTGAGAAATATGTTTTTGTTATATTTTTGAAGTTAAATTATGTTGTCATAGGTATCAAATGTGTCTTCTCAAACTAATCAAAATACTGGTTGTACTACAACAAGACCTGTAACTACTGCTACTTGGCCTGACTTACAGGAAACATCAGTTCAATATGACAGGCAAAATCAGAATGCAATCAATGAACGGCCGCATACGATCTCATCTGGTAATATCTTTTTTTTTTATTTAAAATTTATAAAATTTATTTATAAGTTAAAATTTATATTTAAAGAATATATACAGCATGGTTTTCTTACTATATCATTCAAAAACAATGCTATATTTTATAATAATTTATTATAATTCAAAATACTAATAATAAGATGACTATTATATACATAAAAAGGAGAATACATCATCAATGATATTGACTTTAGGTAGAAAAGTAATAAGAGAATCATATTGTATATTAGTCATTATTTATAATATTTTATTAAATTTTATTAAATTAATTATTATAGCTTATGAAAAAGGCCATCAAAGACCAGCACTCAGTGTCTACACATTCCAAGCTCCAGATAATAGTGGTTGTTGTCATAGTCAACCTGCTTCTCCTGTTTCATCTTCCTCTTCATGTTCTTCCTCTAATCAACAAGCATCTAGAGTACAATTGCGTAGAAATAATGGTAGCCATCGTCCTCCAATACCGAATAGATGTTCCAGTTTAGAACGACCAACAGTTCCAGTGAAAAATGAACCTCCTGGAAGTCCTCGAGGAAAACCTAAATTACCACTTCCAGCACATTTAGCAAAGGGTATTATATCTATTATACTTTATTAATTATTAATTAATCATTTATTTTTAAATGATATTTAATATTAAATGATATATAATATAGAATTAGCAACTCATCAACTTCAACAACCTATGTATGTAAATATGCACGAATTAGCAAATTTAGCTGCAAGTCGTGCTCAAGAGATGCAATTACCTTTACCACCACCTCCTGCATCATTATCAGGAATTGAAAAGGTAAAAACAATAATATATGAATAATAACATGTAAAATTATATAATTTAAATTATATAAAAATATTTATAGACTGAAATTACGGAAAAAGATGGTGGAAGTCAGACATCAGAATCTAGTGTTGAATCTAGTAGTGGATATGGAAGTCAAACTACTATACCGCATTCTCATTCGCTCCATAATCCAAGTGAAAATGCTTGGAATGTATCTGGTGTTGCGTCTACTTTAACTGTTCGAAGAGGTTCGATGCAACAAGCAAATAAACCTTTGCCACCAACAAGACGAACATCTACTATTATAACTGCCACATTCAATAATCCGTCATCAGGTTCTAATGATGAACGCACTGATAATACGTGTGACGAAACCGAAAACCTTCCTCCGCCGCCAGCATTTTTGTTAGAAAGTTCTTCACCTACAGCCAGTCCTACTCCTCAGCGGTAAGAAATAACTCTTTTTATTTTTTTTTTTTTATAATGAAATATTTAAATTATATTTATTTCTATTATTACTATTTTTATATTTATAGATCTATCTCAGTGTCAGAAACAGTAAGAACTCTCACAGAGTTACGTCATACACCTGCTAGTCCATCTCTTTTACGAAAGGTTACAGGACAGGCACAATCTCATAATAATTCGTCTGCTACATTACCACATAATGCTGTATTGCAAGTAACTCGATCTTCTGTTGAACGTTCATGTGCAGCAATTCGTTCAGCTTCTCAAGAACGTAGTTCAAATACCACACAAATAACTGCTATCAATACAGGTGTAAATATACAAGGACAAGGTCCAGGAGGAGTTGGCCAAAGTTTTATGGCGGTTCTTAGTGCTAAACTCATTAATAGTTCAGGTAATAATGCCACAAGTGGTAACAATACAAATAGTAGTCCTAAATCTACTAGAAAACACTCCGTTGAACAACAAATAAGTAAAAATTCTAAAACACCATCTGGCTTTCTTGAAACTTTAAATGCTAAATTAGCCCAACAACAACAAAATTTGCAAGGAAATAATACAACGAGTAGATCTGCAAGCGTGAGACGCATAATGGGTAATCGTGTACCCATTATGGATCCTTTACAAGTAAGAGATTCTCTTATGGATCAAATACGAAAAGGTACCTCTTTAAGAAAAACCAGTGGTCCCATTAATGATCGTTCAGCCCCTAAAATTTATTAAATACTGATGTTTATGCAAGTTCCTTTGCTATCTTTGATGCATCTGAATTGCGATTGTTGAATATTTCACAATACGCATTATCAAGTTTGAACAATAATGCGTTTATAACGCCAAATAAAATGGCGCTTGTCATTGGTGATCGTATATATGTACCTTTATGATACATTCAATAACTGATAATGAATTAGACTGATTTTTTTGCACTTCGGTGTTCTAATACCGAATAATTCAAATTTAATAAAGAACAAAGAAAATTTTTTAGATGAATTCGTTAATATAATGATTAGTTTTATTAAATTAGGCAGGCTCTATATTAAATTTTATTTTTTAATTTAAATATTTTGCGTATTGTTCTATTAATTCGCAAAGATAAAATGATTTTTACCTGTTTAATTATAAACTTAATTTGATTATATTATATTCATATTTGATAATTAAAAACAATAAGATTTAAATAATTTATTCATAAGCTAAAATAATATATTTATATATCATTTCAACTTCGATTTTTAATTTGAATTGATTTTTGATATTAATGCCGGATGCTTGCCATTATGGAAAACCTGACTGACTGATTAATAATAATTTAATGGTGTAAAATACTTTATATTTTAATTTAAAAGAAAAATATAAAATCCGCATAATTAATTTAATATAGAGCTCATGTCTTAATATATCATTATTTTATATGTAATTATTATTTTATGTATATTATGTGTCTTTCATTTTTCTTTATGAAGCGCACAAGTACAAGTATCGTTTTTATTTCATATTATTATTTCTAATACTTTAGTAAAATTTAGTATCGTGTTTAGTATCGAACACAGGTTCTAATAATAAACATTTGTCAACCAATATAATACTATTTTGGTCTGACAAAATTGAACGTAAATGTATATAAGTATTAATGCCCAGGTGGAACTTAATCTTAGAATTAGTTTTTATATTGGCCCGATTATTCTATCAAGATTTTTATCTATAATATTTATTCAATATCGATATACAATAATTATATCGTTTAAACTACAGTATTATTACGTTATTGTTTTTTTTTCAAGAACATTAATTGATTTTATTACATTTGAAAGTTTTTATATCAACTTAGTATAATCTTCTAGATTATATCAATTTTTTTTTATATATTATAATTTTAGTTTCCATCTTGGAAACATATCCATTATCATAAATTTATATTTAGAATATTTTTCAATGCAATATTTGTCTCTTGCATATTAATTCTACATATCAAAATTTTTGTGTCTGTGTGTTTTTTGGAATTAGGATAAGTAATTGTACAATACTGTTTTATAATATCAATATTTACGATATTAAAAGAACTGTTAAAATATATGCATTTACTATTTGCTCGAAAATTTACTGCCAGACAGTTCGATCAATATTTCCATAAACATTGGGTCAACATTTCGTCCCAGTACTTGTGTTCTGCCTGGGCAATGTTAACGGTAAATATTAAAAAACATATACGTGTATATCAGATCGGCGAAAAAATTATTACTTTATTAATATGACATTTTGGTGAATGTGTATCCCTAATGCATATTTGACAAAAAAATGGAAATTATGATCCCAATGTAACAAAAGTATTATTAATTGTATTCATCTTTTTTCTTTAAATTAATCATTTTCGAATAGAATTCTATAATACCTATCACATATATCATATTATTTATTATGAATGACGGTGATGTATTAATCTCAAATGAAAAGAAAATACCTATTTCATGGAATATAATTAAAAATTGAATTATTTGAAACTGATGCCGACTGAACTGAAAACGCTACTGCCAATTTATAGACATTAAAAGTCGTTCCTTTCATTCCTGATACAAGTTAGATTTTGCATTTTACTTTAGTAAAGCGTCGCAACGGGTAGTTTTTCTTTAGTGAACAATGCAAATAGTTTTTATTTATTTCGAGCAAATATTTTACAAATGTGAATAAATAGCTAATACATTTTCAGTGATAATACGATTTGATATTTAATGCTGAAAACGAACTTAGTAATATAAATAATAAAAAAAAAAAGAAAAAATAAATAAAAGTATGGCTTTATAACAATTATATTCTATAATTATGCAAAAATAAAAAAAATCAGTTTCATTTCGATCAGCATTAAATGGCAAATATTCTTAGTAAAATAATAAATAAAAAAGCCGTATAATAAAATAGATAATCATAAAATCTGCTGTAATAAAATATTTATAGTAGTAAAAATTTGAGAGGTGATTGTTAATTTGTAATAATTATTTCAGTAGCAGATCAAATGCAAAGATAATAAATAAAAATATAATAAAAAATAAATCGATATTTTTTTGTTTGTTTACATGTTAATATATGTATATAATATAATGGGATGGAGGAGAGAAGAGAGAGGAGAGAGAGAAAGAGGGAGAGAAGAGAGAGAGAGAATATATATAACTTACTAATTTATCATATTAAAAACTTTATTCAATTTAATAAAAAAAAAAATCATTCATTTTCTGGTATATATCTAATAATTATTTTTACGTAGACTATACGTAGCTTATATTATATTTGTTTATAATATATAATTAACATACTTGTAGATATAAAAAAATAAAAAAAAAATAATTATATACGTATATACTCTGCGCGAAATTAATAAAAAGGAAACAAAATATTACGTTCTTGAAATCGAAATTTACTTAAAGATTTTACGCAATTTAAACATTAAAATAGATTTGAATTTAATTTAACCATATGCAGGGGGATCTTCATACGTACATTGAATGTTATCCTCATTAAGACAGGATGCTCGTATTTCCGCCAATTTGCACGGCACACCACTTACTAACGGTAAACCATATATATAAAAAGAATCATTTAGTGTTTGCTTTTGATCCCCAGATGTAAGAAAATCATTATTCTTGTTTATAATTAATGCAAAACTTCCAGCTACAAAAAAATATTTTTTTATAGTGATATATTGAAAAACAGTGTATGTGTTATATATATATATTCAATGATGAATTAAATTATCGATATGTATTTCTGTCTTAGTATGATGGAATGTTTACGTACGATTATCTAATGGCGAACAAGAGCAATTTGGGCTCAAAGTGAACTCTATCATGGCACGAAGACGTTTGACTTCTCGGGATATATGCAAATCCAATAATAATCTCACTTTACGGAATCGCCTAATTGCTACTTTAACCGCGCTATTTGCCGAGCAATAAATGTCGCTAATGTTTGACGGTAATACATCCATGCATATGGGACAAGATTGGTTTATTCTTGTTGGCGCTAAAGTAACATGTAATATGAGAAACAATAATTGTACGTGTAATTGTTGTAGATTGTAAAATATATTTACTTACACGGAATATTCGTCTCGTTAATTTTTAATATTTTTACTATTCTTAAGACTTCTTTCATAAGAGGATTCGTTATTGAGGAATTGTCTGTATCTATCTGTAAGAAATTGTCTCTTTCAATAGCTTGACGAGTGTTGTTTTTATTTCTTTAAACTTTTTTATTTTTTTTGCTTCCATTTATTTGCAAATTCTTTGGAATCATGAAAAAAGATTTTAATGTACCCTTATAGGTTCTTCATCCTCTGTCTGTACTGTTGTTGATACAGTTTGATCTTCTGTTACGAATGTCGACGTTAAATCAGGCAATCCATTAGTAGTGGTAGTTGCTTCTGTTTTATAATCATAAGTATTCAGTTTCACGTAAACTGGAATTGGTCCTTCCATTCCATCAGGAATTGCTAGCTCGGCGTTATTGACAACAAAAGAGGAATTCATTGGACTTTCATCAAATGATAATTGCTTCATAATAATCATCTCATTTGGCGTTGTTAATTGTTCATCTACTGGCTCCGCACTGCTACAAATTGAAGGGATTTTGTAATTCTGAAAACATTCAATCATTATATATTTTTATTTTGATTGAGATTAAACAAAAATCATTAAAACTTACAGTGGACACAGTAAGTTCTTGTTGATAATAATCGTAAAGTTTTATATTCGCTGGTTTAAGATGATCGATAAAATATTCTTGTATTATTCTAAATGAGATACAAGTTTTTTGGCCAGTCAATTTGTTGAAATAAATTGTCACAATATCTTGATCTTCTTCGAATAATTTAACTTCTATAATTTATAATTTTAATTATTACATTACATGTATTTATTAATTTTATTTTTAAAAAAAAGAAAATAAATTTACTTGAAGATGGGTCCAATAACGAATGTAGACTTGCTCGATCAGGCACGTAACCACTTATTATACCAACTTCGAGTAAAGCCATATTACTTTCCTCATCTGCCATTTTATATCGTGAACAAATTGTAATTTCTTGTAATGAACATTCGTTTCCATAACCAACAGAACGAACTTCTGCTGAAAGATCAAAAGCATCTGAACCAGTACTGGATGCAACGTTGTATTTAAGATTACTCTAAAATTAAAATAGAATGAATATATAATTTATATGACATAAATGAAAATATTATTATAATCATTAAATATAATTATTATTTATAGAATTGTTAATAGAATCTATATTTTTTGGTAAAAGCAAAGATATTTATTTTACCTGTATTAAAACACATCCTTCACCTTGAGCAAAAATTTCTACTATAGTTGGTAAAATAGGTAAACGAATTTGTTTAAGAATTACACGATTTTCATCTTGCAATTTGTAAACATCATCCACTTCTTTAGACGCAGTGACGAGAACAGATAAATCTGTGATGTTATTATGATGTACAATCATAGCATACTTCGTAAGGGCTTCTAATCCAAGAATTGTATCTTGGGTGGATGTAAATCCACCTTCAGAGTTTCTTTGTTTTGATATCCAACGAACAGCTTTCAAAGCTTCACTTAAATTTTCTTCGCCTAATTTCAATAAAGTAAGAATCACGTATGCAGTCATTTCGATGCTTAAACCGATTGAAGGCTTCGATTTATCCTCCCACCAAATTAAATTCTATAACGTAAAATATTTTTTCATATTAGAAAATACATTTATTTTTTTTTTAAATATATTCTGAATTATAAATTTTAAATAAAAAAAAATTAAGTTTACATTTTACTACTTTTTAAATCTTACTAGTTTTATTCGCTAATTCTTATATTTATTATTTTCTTAAATTATATTGTGTTATTATTTATTCATACTTTATAACGCGTAGCACGATTCATTAGAGATTTCATGCTAGAATTAGCTTTTGGATGTTCCAATAAT